GTAAAACAATGAAAGAATTTTACTTTTCCAAGAAGGTAGTGTACTAGGGTTGGAGCATTGGGAGGAGAGAAAAGTACAACAATGAATGGAAATTAAATTTTTTTTAAAAAAAAAACAAAACCCTGTAGCTTTCAATATGGATTACATCTAAACATCAAAAAACTGAAAATCCTCAACACTGGATTAAAAGGCAAATCACAATGGATGGAGAAGATTGAAGTTGTCAGCGATTCCATTTCACTTAGTTCCAGAGTGAATATTCTTGGTACCAGTATTCAGGAGATCAAAAGATATGTTGCATTTGGAAAATCTGCTGTCAGAGACCTCTACAAAATTCTGAGGAGCAGTTATCAGTTTAAAGACTAAGGTGCCCTTAATTCAAGCCATGGTCTTTTCAGTTATTTGCTGGGCATCTGGAAGTTGGATAATAAATGATGACAGAAGAATAATTCATGCTTTTGAGCTATAGTGTTGGAGAAAAATATTGAATATCCCATAGACTACCAAATGAACAAACAAATATATCTTGAAGAACGTACAACCAGGTGCTCCTTAGAGGCAAGTATGGTGAAACATCATCTCACATACTTTGGGCATGTTTTTAGGAGGGGACGTTCCTTGGAAACAGACATGCTTAGAAAGGCTGAGAAAGAAAGGCATACTTTCAAACAAGATAGATTGACAATAGTGAATGTAATAATTGGCTCAAGAATACCAGAGATGGGTAATATTTCAACATCAGGTAAACCAAAATCTTCCTAACTGGACCACTAGACCACATCATGATAGGCTAATTTTAAACCATACATTTCTTCCTTGTTCTGTTGGAATACCTGCTCTTGGTCTAAGCATAAGTTTTGTGTGAATACAGTTAAATGTCCTGGAATTTCCTTTCTTCTGAGGGTTAGCCATAGTTTATTATGATCCATAAATGCCTGCTCATAGTCATAAAACTAAAGCCAAAGACAATGAAATTGAGGTTTTCCACTGACTAATGCAGTCTGAAATTGATGGAACACGAAATTAAGATGCATTAATAGTGGCTTGAATGTGAAAATTGGAAGCAAAGGACTGAGTTTGAAAATATGGCTTTGGTGAGAGAAATGAGGTTGGAGATCAAATAATAGAATTTTATGCAATCAATGATTTATTCATTGCAAAAAATTATAAACAATACATATGTACCTCCCCTGATTGACTACATCTCTGGAAAGAAATAGTAAGAAGCTTGATAACAGCAGTTAAATAAGACCTGAGTTTGACAGTAGAACAGATCATCCACTACTCATATGCAAATTTAAATTGAAAGAAACTTTAAACAGTCCACAAGAGCCAAAATACCATCTAGTGTTTATCCTACCTGAATTAAAAAAAAAATCTCAAGAGTAGATTTGATAGCATTGAACATTAATGAGACCAGATGAGTTGGAAGGGTGACATCAAGGACATCATCCATGAAGAAAGTAAAAAGTCATTACAGAGACAGGAAAGAAAGAAATGACCAAACTGAATGGCAGAAATAGATATTTTGAGAAGATTCATTTCAATCCATAGTATACTTTTTAAATCAGATGCTGTCAAGCTGGCTCCCACTCAGTGTTCCTAATCCTTCACCATCCTCACAATCTCTGCTATCCTTAAACCTGCTATTGCAGTGTTGATGTTAATCACTTTAATTGAGGATCTTTTTTAGGAGAATGCCCCTTTCTGATAACATGCTCAAAGTTGTGAAGTTTTTGTAAAGTTTTACGGACCTTGCTTCTAAAGAGCACTTTGGCTGCACATCTTCCAGAATGGATTTATTTGTCCTTTTTTGACCATCCATTCAGTAATCCTTACCAGCACTGCAATTCAAAGACATCAACTCTTCTTTCATCTTATAGTTCGACGTTTATACACATATGAGAGAGATGAAAACACCATGGCTTGGGTCAGGCATACCTTAGTTTTTAAAGTGACGTCTTTGCTCTTTACCATGTTAAAGAAGTGATGTCGCTTATTGGCCCACTTGTGCTTGAAGATTTTTGTTTTCTTGTGTTGAAGGACTATCATCCTGAACTTCTTCAGCAAATGCTTCAAAGTTTTCTTTGTTTTTTTATAGTGTTGGGTCATGTTCATGAGTCTTCTGTCAATCTTGATGCCACATTCTTTTTCATATAGACCAGTTTTTTAATTCATTGCTCAGTGTACAGATGGAATAGATATGAAGAGATAGAGTACTTCTGCCCACCTAGAAAGTAAGTGGTATAGTACCTAATCTGTGTTGATAATCAGAAGTTTGGCAATTCTAATTTACTAGCTGCTCCATGGGAGGAAGATGGGTAGGTTCCTCTAGTAAAGAGTAGCAGCTTCAGAAATCTGAAGAAGGGTTTCTAGGAGTCTTACTCTGTTTACAGGCTGTGGGGCTTTAAAAAATATGAATAACATCTTCACCACTTTTCAAATCTCCCTTAAAATTGGATCCTTCTCTCTTCTATTTTTAAATTGTTTTTCTCTTTCTTTTTAATTTACCAGTAAGGGTGAATTTTCTTTGTACTGTTGCATATCTTCTCTAAATTTATTTTTAGGTCCTTTGTGGTTTTACTTTGAATGGTTTCTTTTTCTGTCTTTTCTAAGTGTTTTCCTATTTGTTACTGGTATATTAAAAGCCTTTATTAAAATATATTGATCTTACATCTAGTAGTTTGCTATTTTCTGTTAATGCTTTGTCTTCAAGATCTTTTGAATTGTCTTAAAATGCAGTAGCAAGCTGCCTTTCTTGTTTTCATTTCTAATCTTTGTATCTTGTCTGACCCCTCACTCCTTTGGGTGGCTGTGATGGTGAGGGTCTTTTGCACAATGTTAATAGAGGTCTCGATGATTCTGTGTGAGGCCTCCAAAGTTATTCGACCTGGGACCTTTACTTTGTAATCTTATCTCCAGCTCTTTCTTTTGGTTCACTCTGATTTAGCCATATTGGCCTCCTTGAATGCTCTGAGCCTACAATGCACATGGCCACCTTGGTACCCTTGTTCCTCATAATTGTCTGGCTCACTACTTCCTTCAGGTCCTCTCTAAATATTCTTTCCAGTGAGGTTTTTCTAGCTTGCTTTATTCTTTTTAGAACAATTTTAGTGCAGCGTATTTTACATATAATTTGCCATTTCAAGTGTACAATTTAACACAGCCCTTGTATATTGTCAGTCCTCTCTAATTACTGTTGCACTCTTCACATACTATCTGAAGATGGTAATCTTTCTGGAAAAGGAAGTGTATGAGAAATCACAGAACCCCAGAGCCTAATCTGTAGTCTGTAGCAGAAATTCCCATTTCAGGTCCCTTTTTCTTGTGTCTGTATATCATGAACAGGTAGAGGAGAGCTTTTCAGGAGGTGATATTTGAATAAAAGAATGAAATAGCTTATCATCTGATTCTTCTCCTACATTTTGGATCCACTGCCTTGTTTAGCTAATAATGTTAAGTATGAAATTAAGAAGTTTCTTCATTATCTGCAGATATCTGGTATCTGCATAGATACTGCAAGTAGAATGGCCATAACAAAACATTCTCTTACAGTTTAGAGGAGACTGGAAGTCTAAAGGTGTTGGTTCTCAAAGATGCTCTTCTTTATTTTTGTATTTTTTAAATGGACTTAAATACAATAATTTGTATATATGATGTTTGCTTCATGTGAATTGTGTTTTATATAATCTTCAATTTGCATTCTAATTCATACTATAACCCACATATATTTTCTATAATTGACTACTGTTGATCTATGCCCATCATTACTTCATCTTTTTTTGTATCACTGTGATACTTTTTTATTGTGATTTTAACAAGAGTTTACATAAGAGTTGGATTTTTCATTCATTCATTCATTGTTGCACATTTGCTCCCTACCCCGTTTGCTGTATTCTTTTAAATATTTATTCATTGCTGAATAACTTTCTTTTCCTGTGTACATCCAGATGCTGGGAAATAACCTAGCGCAGAAACCCACGTTCAGAGGACTTGTTTCATTCCCAGTTCATATCTTGGTCCTAATGAAGTTCTGATTGAACTCATTTTAAGCATGCGGTATCCCACCCTCATTCTCTCACAGCTGATTGGCTGATCATATCATGAGGTTGGTTAAATCCTGTAACTATCTCTAATCCTACCTTAGTAACAAAGATACTGTTAGAATATGCAGTGCATTGGAGCCCTGACAGCTGTCAAAGACCTCTTTAAAGTCCTGAAGAGCCATCTCATATTGCACTGTGAAGCAAAACTGTATCTTCGATGGTTTGAATCCACCAGTGGGTATTCTTGGGTCAAGGAGAGTGAACGATTTGTTTATGATCATCTTGCTGTTACGTGCTCTCAAGCCGACTGTGACTCGTAGTGACCCTCTACACAATAGCTCTGAACCCTGCCCTATCCTAAGCCAGTCTTACTGCCACTGACACATTACGCCAGTCACCATGTTAGTCCATCTCATCCAGGGTATCCCTCTCCTGCACTGTTCCACCACCCTTCAAAGCATGATGTCCTTCTCCAACAGCTGATCTCTTCAGGCAACATGCCCTAAGTTCGTGAGTCGGAGCTTCAAAATCCTTGTCTGGAAGAAGCAATTTGGTTTCATCCTCTCCAGGACAGACCTATTTGTTCTCTTGGCACATTCCAAGATATATTCAGTGAGGAAAGATGATTAAAAGGGAAACTTTTAAAAATATATTTTTAGCTGTTGCCTATAGTAGAGCCTCACATGATATTGAAACTCTTGGCCTGCCTGAGCTGACACATAATTTAGGGGAATAATTCAATCCATGATATTTGGAAAGTATTTGAAGGTAAGTTATGACTGAAATAGCATTAAAATTTTCCTTTGATCAAGCCCCACCCCGCAGTAAAAACACTTCACAATAAAAAATAAGGATTTGCCTCTTTACAAGTTGTGGTTTTATTTGAAATGTTTCTTTTGGGTTTTTTTCCCTTCATTTTTAATTGCTTCCTTGACTATCTTTTTTTTGATGCAGATAAATACTGAGGAACATGTAGATGCAACTGATCAAGAAGTTATCTTGTGGGATCGTACCATTCCTGAGGACATTCTGAGGGAAATCACTGCTCCTAAAGAAGTCCCAGCAGAAAGTGTCACTGTGTGGATTGACCCACTTGATGCTACACAGGAATATACAGGTAATTTGAACCATGATCTCAAACTTTAGGTTGCCATTAAATATTAGAAAACTATACTACTTGTCCTACTGTTGCGCCACTCCCACAAAAAAGGCAAGTGGTATATACATCAGAGTAAATGTTCTTTATATCCAATGTTACTTTTCCAATTGGATTTTAAAATGATATTCATAATCAGTGTTGATTGGCCTGCCTCCATTCTCTTTTCTCCCCCTTAGTCCACTGTATTAGGATATAGTTCCTATTGCACATCCATTTTTTGAGGGAATTTATTTGACCAGAATACAATATTTACTTGAAATATTAAGACTTAAGTTTTATTGCGTATACATCTGACCTTGGAATTGAAGATAGAAAATTCCTAGGCATCTAAAATTTTTTTTTCTAAATTCCATCAAAATGAGACCATATATTTACAATGTAAATACAATGTAATCACTAGATTCTGAATCTCTCTTTGTTCCTTTGACAGTTGTGTGGTATTTTTGTTTTTGTTCGCAGAGGATCTTCGGAAGTATGTCACTACCATGGTGTGTGTAGCTGTCAATGGCAAACCTGTGCTAGGAGTAATACATAAGCCATTTTCTGAATACACAGGTATGAAATAGGCTGCAGTTTTATAAGTTAATATTACTAGACTGTTTCTGTGTAGTATTTATCATCATATAAAAATCTCAGCTATGACTTAGTAAATATTAAAGCCAACCCCCACCTACCCTCACTTCACTGGAGGTTTTGTTGTTAGTATTGATGATAAACGACAAAACAGGGCTTTCAAAACTTTAGGTTAGAAACCTATTGAAGATGAGAGCTTTTCATTGTGGTGGAAGACAACAGCAAGTAAACTGCAGCAGCCAAACTTATGTTTCTTTTTTCTCATGCTGTTGCTGAGTTGATATTTGTATTCTAGGTAGACCCAGAGGACAACTCTAGAGGCTCCAGCTGTGTCAGCTGTCATAGCAGGAAATGGTCTTGGCATTCTGATGTCAGTGTCAGCCTCAGGGTCAAAAAGTGAAAGAGTTGTCACAATGAAATTCTCAGGAGTCAAACTGATCTCTGTAGCTCCAGATAGACTGCATAGTTCTTGCTGACAGGTCAGATGCATGGTGGTCATGCTGGAAGTGAGATGTGGAAAGCCATTTCTGTGATCTTCCCATTTCGCTTAGGCCTTTCCTCATGCCTTCTTTGCTTATCGATATTCAGTACTTAATGCCATTGAATTGGAACTGACTCATAATTGATCCTCCATTGGGTCGTCAAGGCTGTAAATCAGATAGGAGGAGACTGCTCTTCTTTCTCCCTTGCCGCTTCTGGTAGATCTGAATCACCAGGAAGACAGTCTTTGGGTTAGCAGCGCAGCTTCCTGGGGACTAGGCCACCTGAGCTTGTGAATAGATTCAGTAATGATGTTTTTGCAGTTTGACAGAAAGGCTAATTATGATCCTCTCAGTTTCTTAATGATGTTCACTATGGTTGTAAGTCCACAGTGACATCATATCCTGTTGGCATGGAAAACAAATAATTTATAGAATAATTGACATTATTGACAATTTTAAGGAAATTATCATAGTGTTCACTGGTAACAGTCATCAAATATATGTAGCAATGATGATTAAATAACTCTTAGTTTGACTCTTCTCTAAAAGGATAGGTTTCTGATGATGATAATGTCCATTTTAACAATGTTGAAAGTAACTCTTATGACTAGATAGAGTGTTTTTACTAGTGTGACCCAAACAGTTATGTCTCCCTGGCACCAAGGATATAATTTTATTTGGAAATAGCTTTTTACAGATAACAACTAGGTAAAGGTTGAGATGGGATCCTACTGGATTAAGTGGGCCCTGACTCCAGGATATAGGCCCAAGAGACAAGATGATGAGAAGGCAGAAACAGATTGGAGTGAAGCTTTTATAAGCCCCCAGAATAGAATGCTGATAAATCTCTGAAAGCTGGGAGAAATGTGCAATGGATTCTTTCTTGGGGTCTGCAGTAGGAGTGCATCCTATTACATCTTCATTTTGAATTTTATGCCTCCAGAACTCGGAGTGAATACATTTTTGTTGTAAGTCACCCAATTGAGGTATTTGTGATGGCAGTCCTTGGACACTCATAAGCGTGCATCTTTGGACTCTCATAAGCGTGTAATATTACGTGTTCCAGCTATCCCTCATTGTGTCTCGTTAACACTGCTTAAAGAAACTCTCAAATGGGGAAAAACGTACACTCAAGATGATTTGAGATCAATCTGAAGTAATTTATTTGATTTACAATCAAAGATTTGCAGAGAAAAATCTTGGATATAGATTCCAGCTGCTCTAAAATAGACTAAATATCTATTTGGATGTTGTCTTTGCATTTTAACGTCAAACCTATTTTTAACCCACATTTAGTAATTTAGATAACCTTTAAAGTTGATTAAATACTGCAAAAGATTTGATGTCATTAATCATGTGTCTTAATTACACAATTTAGGAGTTGCATATTACTTTCACACATTTGTTTTCATTTCTTTTACTGAGTTAGGGTATAGGTTAAGCTGCTATTGTAAATGCCACCATATGCTTTGTTAACCGTTTGTCTCTTCTCTAGCAGCCTGTATGCTGTATATTCAAGTCTGGTAGGGCAACTTTGGGACCTGGTGGAGATTGTGAAGATGTTGCAGGATAGGGAAAGGTTCTGATCTCTTGTAATAGGGTCACTATGAGTCATAGTTCACACAAATACAGCTAACAGCAGCATACAATTTAACGATAAATTTTATCAAGACTTACTCACTGTCAGCAAGGCAGTTCAGTTCGTGGGGATCTTCCGTTGGATTTCTGTTCTTCTTCCTTAGTGTGACCAGTGGATTAGAACTGCTAGTTTTTAGTAGCATAACTGCACTATTCACTATACCACCAAAGCTCCTTAATCTGTACACTGTTGTTAGGTGCTCTTAAGTCGAGTATGACTCATAGCGACCTTGTTGTTGTTATGTGCCACTGAGTCTCCTGCAACTCATAGCAACCCTATGTACATTAGCTCTGAAAGCTGCTCTGTTCTGTTCCAGTCTCATCGGCTCTGACAGACCTAATCCCATTGCTCCAGTCACTGAGTCAATCCTGGGTCTTCCTTTCCTGCTCTGTCCATCTATTCTTCCAAGCATGAGGTCCCTCTTCAAGGACTGGTCCCTCTCAGCCATGTGCACAAAGTATGTGAGGTAGAGCCTCAAAATCCTTTCCTCCAGGGCGCAAACTGGTTTCACCCTTTCCAGGACAGACGTCTTTATTCTCCTGGCAGTCCACAGTATGTTCAACACTCTTTTCCTGCTCTGCAATTCAAAGGCATTGGTCCTTCTTCTATCATCCTTAGTTATTGTCCAGCTCTCAGATACCTATCAAGTAATTGTGAAGATCATAGCTTGAATCTGGTACACCTTATTCTCCAGACTGACATTGTTGCTCTTTATTACTCTAGAGAGGTCCCAGGCAGCAGACTTTCCCAATGTAATTGGCTTTTTGATTTCTTGACTGAGTGTTGACCAAGAGTGTTGATTTTGTAACTAAGCAAGCTGAAATTATCGACAATCTCAATCTCTTCTCTGTCCATCGTGAAGCTGCCAGTAGGCACAGTGATAAGAATCTTTGTTTTCTTGATGTTGAATTTTAGTCTATATTGAAGACTACAGTCCTTGACTTTCTGCAGCAAATGCCTCAAGTCTTCTGTTTGAGCAAGCAAGGTTGTGTTATCTGCGTAATTCAGGTTGTTGATGAATCTTCAGTCTTGGATGCCACATTCCTCATAAATTCCAGCCTCCCAAATGATCTTTTCTGCATATAGATTGAAAAGGTATGGAGATAGGATGCATCCCTGATGCCCACCTTTCCTGATTCTGAATCAGACAGTGTTTCCCTGCTCTGTCCTGACAACTGCTTCCTGGTTCAAGTATAGGTTTTACATGAGCACAGTTAAATGTTCTGAGATTCCCATTCTCCTCAAGGTTAGCCACAATTTGTGTTGTGATCCGCACAGTCTTATGTCTTTGCATTGTCATTGAAAAACAGATAGCGACCCGATAAAGAACAAATCTGAACCCTCTCCTATTCTTTATCTCTTGAGTTTATTGCTATAGTCCCTGTCTCAGTCCCTCTCCATAAGAATCCTCCAATCTTTTGCTGACCCTTCACCTTTTCAAGCATGATGATGTCCTTCTCCAAGGAATAGCCCATCCTAACAATATCGCCAAAGTATGTTGTTACATATACTTTGCTATCCTTGCCTCTAAGGGAGCACTCTGACTGCACTTAATTCTAAGACATGTCTGTTCTGTTGACAGTCCACAGGCTAGTTAGTACTCTTCTCCAACACTGAAACTTGAAGGCCTTGATTCTTCTTCTGTCTTCTATTCATTGTCCAGTTCTCAGTGATTCAAAAGACCATATCCTGAATCAGGTGCACCTTAGTCTTTAAATTGATATTGCGCCTTAGTATTTTGAAGAGGGCCTTGACAACAGACTTTCCCAATGTAATATGTCTGTTTCCTTGACCGTGGATACCAAAGGTGTTGATTTTGAATCCAAGGAAGATTAAATTGTGAACAGTTTCAGTCTTTATCTATCATGATGTTGCCTGTTGGTGAGGACAGTGGTGAGGATTTTTATTTTCTTGATGTTGAGATGTAATTCATATTGAAGGCTGTAGTCTTTGATCTTCTGTGGCAAGTATTTACTTAGCATATACATTGAAAGTTGTTATGTGCCATCGAGTTGCCTGCGACTCATAGAGACCTTATGTACAACAGCCCTAAACCCTGCTCTATCCTGTGCCAGTCTAACCATTTCCGACACACCTACCCCGATTACCTCAGTCACTGAATCAATCAACCTCATAGAGAGTCTTCCTTCCTGCGCTGTTCCTCCACCCTTCCAAGCATGTTGTCCCTTTCCAAGTATTGGTACCTCCTTGCAACATGTACAAGATATGTCAGATGACGCTTCAGAATCCTTGCCTCCAAGGAGCAGCCTGTGTTAACACTCTCTAGGACGAACATGTTTGTTCTCTTAGCAGTCCATGGTTTATGCAATACTCTTCTCCACCAACAACACAGCTCAAAGGCATCAAGTCTCCTTCTGTCATCCCTAGTCATTGTCCAGCTCTCTGATACATAGCAAGTATCAGGCACACCTTAGTCTCCAGAGTGACATCATTGTTCTTCAGTACTTTGGAGAGGTCCCTAACAGCAGACTTTCCAGTCACAATATGTCTTTTAATTTTCTGGCTGCTAGTGCCAAGAGTGTTGATTGTAGACTCAAAATAAAGCTGTTTACAATCTCAATCTTTTCACCATCTACCATGATGTTGCCAATTGACCCAGTGGTGAGAATCTTTGTCTTCTTGCTATTGAGCCTCAAACCATATTGAAGGCCGCATTGACCTTTTGCAGCAAGCACTTCAGGTCCTCCTCAGTTTCAGCAGGCAGGGTTGTGTTACCTCCGTAATGCAGATTGTTGATAAATCTTTCTCCAATCCTGATGCCCCATTTCTCCTTATCCAGCTCAGCCTCCTGGATAATCTTTTGTGCATACAGATTGAAAAGGTATGGAGATAGGACACAT